ACACACACACACACACACACACCACACACACACACACACACACACACACACACACACGCAAGACACAACACAACACAACACACACACGCACGCACATTCATGCACACACACACACGCAAACACATTCACACACACACACGCACGCACATTCATGCACACACACACACACACACACACACACACACGCACACACACACACTATACCTCTCTGTGCTGGTGATGCGCTGGGACAAGAGCTGCAAGTGCTGCAGCAGGTCGTTGACATCCTGCAAGTACGTCTCAATCAGCGACTCACTCTCCTCAATCAGCGTGTGCTGGACCGTGGAGCCGTCCATGCCCTCCTCAAACTCCTCCGGCTTGGTGCACATGCGCGTCAGGTGCATGTACAGCATCTCCTGGTCGTCCTCAAGCACATCGCCCAGCGCACGCTGCACGCGCCTCAGTGACGCCTCAAGCTCGCTCGCCTCATTCTTGCACACGCGCAGGGAGTCGAGCTCCCGTGTCGTGGACAGCTTGCGAAGCGCGTGCAGTGCATCGGCAACCTTGGGTTCCAGCGAGCGCAGGGACGCCTGTGCCTGCTCCACCACCACGTCCATAAACGTGTCCAGCGCGCGAAACTCAAACGGCGTCTGCTCGTCCGTCTTGAGCGGCAGTCGGCGAAACAGCGGCTCAATCATGCTGTCAGCGCCAAACGGGAGCAGCAGCAAGCACCGGTCCTTCAGAATCAGCGCGTGGTAGGGCGGCAGCTTGACCAATATGACCAGCTGTCGCACGCCAATGAACGGCTCCCCCGACCGCGATGTGGAGAAGTCGAGCTGCCGCACGTCGCGCTGGTGCAGCTGGAACCGGCGACCCATGATCACGGGCTCGCGTGCGAGCGACACGCTGCGACGCCGTGTACGCGGCACGCGCCGCCCCATTCGCCCTCTACCAGGCGTGCCCCCTGTCTCCAGCTGGCTTCGTTGCTGATGTTGCAACGATGCTCGCTTCGATGGTTGTTGTGATTGCTGTCGTTGCTGTTGCTGTTGCTGCTGCTGCTGTTGTTGTTGCGGGTCTTGTTGTTGTTGTTGTTGTTGTTGTTGTCTTCGACGCCTTCGTTGACGCGGGGACCGCTGCTCCTCGTGTTGCTGATCCTGCTGTTCCGGTTGGCTGAATCGCGCTGCTGCTATTCCGGTGCCATTGTTGCCCTGTTGTTGTTGCTCCTGCTGTTGTTGTGCGAGGTGGTGTGCTGCTTCCGTTTCTGCTTCGAGGAGCAGTCTGTCAAGCTCGTCCCTAATGTGAATCACATCCGAGCGAACTGCTTGCTGCACGTACCGCAGGATTCCATGGCGGGTCAGCTCCAACTTGTCGTACAGCGTTGTATTGGCCCTCAGCACCATGATGTTGATCTGACAACACCACGCGCAGTGTGCAGTGTGCAGTGTGTGTGTGTGTGTGCGCGCGCATGTGTGTGTGTTTGTAAAGGAGGGATGCATGACCGATAATGTGAGGCTGAGAATGCCACCATGGAAGTAACGATTCTACAAGAGTTGAGAGGGTCAGATGAATGGCTCATGTGAAGCGCAGATGGCTGCAAGATCCACTCACAAGGTATCACAAGCTCAAGCACACATGAAGCCATACAATCACAATAACGTATACGCATGCACAACCAACACACAACGCAAAGCTTGTTACCCGTTGGCCTGGACGCCCTAGCTGGATGATGGATTCCCGTGGACTGACGGGACGACCATCCTTGGATTCGAGCGAACTGGTTCCCCAAGAAGGCAGCTGTTGCTGCTGTTGTTGCTGCTGCTGTTGTTGCTGTGCATCAGGAGACCGGCCTGCCGCTTGTGACGCCGGGTCTTGTTCGGCGGTGTCTGGGAGCAAGGTTGGCATAGCAAAATCGATTTGAAGTCGCGGAGCGCGCGCCTCTTCCTCTCGGAGTTGGCGCAGCTGCTCCTCCTGCTCATCGCGCGCAGCCTGCAGCAGCTGCTCGCGCAACAGCACACTGGAGGACGCATGCTCGCCGGAGGCACCGCCATCCCCACCTTCTCTGCCTGCAGTCTCGGTTCCCCCATCGCCAAGACGATCATTGCCTCGTGGTGCTGCAAGCACCACTGCGTCGTCATGATCCGCTTCAGGACCGACAGACACGGGGACATCCACATCACCAGTTGTTGACGTCAACGCAGGCGCTGCGGTGACTTCCCTCGCCTCTCTCGACGCAGTGCTGTCGTCACCACCACCGCCGTGGTCACCACCCCTTGGGAACGTGGGGTCTGTGCTGCTCTCGCAAGCTCGACGGTACCCTCGTGCTGGGCCGCCCCGACCAAGCAACACATCATCATCATCATCATCATCACCCATATCCAGCAGCAACGTCCGCCACCTTTCGTGCTGCTGCTGCTGCTGCTGCTGCCGTTGCTGCTGATCATCTTCGTCGCCTTCCATGGTGTGGTTGTTGGCGATTCGCAACAGCACCCACGACTTCTCTATTCGAGTCCTGCGGGCACTTCGAACGCCCCAAGCTTGTCGTTGCACAATCAAAAATGGCTCTTGCAGCGGCAAGGGCGAAACAGAGAGCATTCAGTTTATCAGTGCAAAGACACAGCAGCGACCGACCTTTTGTGTGAGTGAGACGACGTTGTTGTTGTTGTTGTTGTTGTTGTTGATGATGATGATGATGATGATGATGATGATGACAACGAGGGCGACGAGGATGGCAGTGCCACGGGCTGTACGCACGCTCACCCAAAGGTTCGTTGCACGTATGTGTGTGTGTGTGTGCGTTTGTGGTGTACCACTACAAAACACCGCATGTCAAAAGGCTGCCCAGCGCTTCAGCAAGGCGATTCAGCGCTCACAGAAGAAGAACCTGTGTCCACAACGTTGCGTTTCCCATTACCATCACCATCACCATCATCACACCTCAATCTGAATGCACAACCTTCCCACACAACACTACGTGTGACACTTGAACACCATGCACACGCCATCCCTTACCCACACACCACTGACATGCATACACATACACATCACGCACACATCACTGACATGCACACACTCACGCACACGCACTGGCGCACGCAGTGTACGATGCCTTTCCAGCGCCGGGCGCCTGCTGCAATCGCCGCCACCACCGCCATCACAGTCACAGAAGGAGCAGAAGCAGCTCATCACCCCAAGCACCGTGTACTTGAACGGGGAGTTTGTGCCGTCCGACCAGGCCAAGGTGTCTGTGTTTGACCGCGGCTTCCTATTTGGAGACGCCATCTATGAGGTCGTGTCTGTGATCCACGGTGGCATCTTCGACGAAGTCCCACACATGGAGCGGCTGGAGCGCTCCCTGGCCAAGGTTGGCATGCCAATGCCCATGTCACAGGAGCAGTTTGTTCACACCATCCTCGAGGTCGTCGACCGCAACGAGCTGGATGAGGGCGTTGTGTACATGCAGATCACCCGCGGGGCTGGGGACCGCACCTTCACCTACAACAGCCTTGTCGACGCCGGCATGACGCAGAACATTGTCATGTTCGCGCAGCATCTGAACCTCCTCAACGCCCCCGCCATCGAGTCGGGCCTCAGCATCAAGACGGTACCAGACATCCGCTGGCGCCGCTGCGACATCAAGACCGTGCAGTTGCTCGGCGCCTCGCTCTCAAAGACAGCAGCTGCGCGCGAGGGCTACAACGGCATCTGGTTTGTGGACCCAGACACGCACATGATCACGGAGGGCGACTCCAACAACACCTTCATCGTGCAGGGCAACACCGTCATCTCCCCAGGCCTGCACCGCAACGTGCTTCCCGGCATCACCCGCAACGTCGTCAAGGAGATTGTCGAGGCTGCGGAGGGCCTTGAGTTTGAGGAGGCAGACTTTGGCGTTGATGCCGCGCTGGCTGCCGATGAAGCCTTTGCCACCTCCGCGGGCCTCTTTGTGACCGGCGTCACGTCCCTGGATGGCCGTCCCATCAGCGGTAGCAAGGTTGGCCCCATCACCAAGCGCCTGCGCAAGCTCTACATTGAGCGCGCCCTGGAGCACCTCACCATCTCCGACAACTAACCCAACCACGACACAGAAGACGGCATCAAGCAAGTGTGCTGAATTGCTGACGTGCTGAGATGGTGTGTGTGTGTGTGTGTGTGTGTGTGTGTGTGTGTGTGTGTGTGTGTGTGTGTGTGTGTGCGTTTGTTTGTGTGCGTTTGCGTGCGTTTATTTGTTTGTGTGTGTTTGTTTGTTTGTGTCTGTGCATTTGTTTGTGTGTGTGTGTGTGTGTGTGTGCGTTTATTTGTTTGTGTGTGTTTGCTTGTTCATTCGTGTGTGTGCTTGCCACTGCGTGTTCCCCTGCCATAAACAGTTACCCTTTTCTTGGCTCAAACATGGTGGTCTGTGCTTTGTATCATGAGAACAAAAACCGAACATCGCGCACACACGCGCAAGTCCCACGACAGGAAAAATGGTGTCAACGCGTGTGCTCCACCATGCCACGTCAAGCACATACACAATCATGTAAAGAAGATGCAAAGCTCCACCACCAACAAACAAAACAAAGACACACACGCACACACACACACGCTCACACGCTCACACAGGCTACATGGCAGTGTCCTTCATGCCATTGCTGAGAGGAATGTGCAAGAGGTTGGCGGCTCCTTTGCGCTGAGCCAGGTGGCCAATCTGATCAAGCAAAACGCAAGTGGCATTAGCACATGACATTATTATGGAACCGCATAAGCAGCATGTGCGCGCAACCATGCATGTGGGTGCAACCATGCATGTGGGTGCAACCATGCATGTGGGTGCAACCATACATGCGGGTGCGGTCGTGCAGATGTACGGGAATGCACGCACATGCACAAAACAAACGGAGAAAATGGCTGAACCACACCACAGCACAACACAACACAACACAACACAAGACAACACAACACAACATAGCACACCACGAACACACACACATGCGCGCGCGCAATACACTCACCATAGGGTGGCTCGGGTTGCCCTTGGGTTCGGGGACGCGCCGCTTGAGCATGACGCCAAAGCGGTCCCGGTTGGCTTCCTCCTCCTCGTCCAAGCGCTGCTGCAGCTTCTGCCTGCGTTCCTGCTCTTCCCTCTGCTGCTGCTCGCGAAGTTGCCGTGCCTCCTCCTCCATCTTGCGCTGCCTCTCTTCGCGCTCCTCAAACAGCTTCTGCTGCTCCTTGCGCGCCTGCGCCGCTGCCTCGGCCTTGGCTGCGCGCGCTTCCGCCTCCTTGCGCAACTTGTCCTCCTGCTGGCGCCGCTTTGCCGCTGCTTCCTCAATCTCCTTCTGCCGCTGCTGCTCAGCCTCCTCCATCAGCCGCTTCATGCGCTCCTCCTTCTGGCGAAGGAACTCGAGATCGCGTTCACGCGCGGCCTTTGTCCGCTCAAACTCGTCCTTGGCCAGTCGCTCCTCCTCCTTGCGCCGCTGCTCACAATCCACCGCAAACTTGCTCCATTCTGCCGCCTGCACAGCAAAGATCTCTTGCTCGATGACCGCCTTTTGCATCTCGCGTCGCAGCTCCTCCACCTGCCTGTCGTACTCGTCGCTGGGCAGATCCTCCGACTGCTGCTCCTTGAGGCGCGAAAACTCGCGCTCGCGAATGCCGTTGAGGATGTCCTGCATGTTCTTCAGCTCAAGCGGCGTGCCCACCTTCTGCGCGCTCTCGCGCGCTGTCTTCATGCGTGCACGCAGCGTCTCCGCGTCCTTCTTCGCCTCGGCAAGGTTCTCCTCGATGATCTTGCGGTCGTGTTCAAACTGCTCGCGCCGACGCAGCTCCCGCAGCTCGTCGGCCTCCACCAGGCTCGCCTTGCGCGCCTTCTCTGCATCCGCCTTTGCCTACAAGTAGGGAGCAATGGGGCAAAGGGGGTGGGGCCCGGGGCAAAATGGCATGAAGATAACACTTCAAGTACAAGGTACTTGTCATCAGATACTTGTTCAAGCTGATGGCTCCTCACCGTCAGCACTGCCACGCACAACCAATAACACACACACACACACACACACACACACACACACACACACACACACACACACACACACACACACACACACACACACACACACACACACACACACACACACACACACACACACACACACACACACACACACACACACAAATGCACAGGCAGCTGGCTGACCTGGCGCACGCGCTCTGCATCGGCCTGGATAACCTCTTTAGCACGCTCTTGTGCTTGTGAGATTTGTTTGAAGGTGGAATCCGAGGCAGCCATCGATGCCCGCCCTTTTTGTGGCACAACAACAATCTCCACGGCCTCGCCGGCATCCTTGATGAGCTGAACAACATCAGAGTGCTGCATGCCTGCAATGGATTTGCCATTGATCTGGGCACGCATACAGACACACATGCAAGGAGGGAAGCGGGGTCATGGCGTGCAATACCCAACAACAAAACTCGTGAGACCAGCGTGACACGAGAACCAAAGGCTAGACATAGAGACATGGAACATGCCATCAAGCTTCAAGCAGCCAAGCTTGCGTGCAAACATGCAGGCGTGCAAGGAACCAAGCAGCTAAACCAGCCATGATGATGAGCATGAGGAGGTGGAGGAGGATTCAGACAAGAGGTGCCAACGCAGTGCCACCATGAAAACAGACCCTCAAGTACCATGACCAAATGCTTTTGCGCGGGTTCGTGTGCGGAAGCGAGTTGGCAACAAAACCAAACAGCTGTTGACGCACCGCCACAATTTCGTCGCCTGGGTGAGCGCCCGCCTTTGCTGCAGCACCGCCAGGTTGCACGACGCGGAAGAAGTGCTTGTCACCCGCTTTTGACAGGTTAAAACCAAAGCCCTTGTCTGTCCGCACCAGCATGAGGCGAACCTGCCCCTCCTTCAGGCTGGAGGAAGAGATCTGCTTGGACATGCGCCCTTGTTGCTGTTGTTGTTGTTGCTGGTGTTGTTGTTGTTGCTGCTGCTGCTGCTGCATCAGCTGTGTTTGCTGCCGCTGTTCGCGCTGCATGTCCTGCTTCATCTTGGAGACTGATTGCTCATCTGGCGGCGGCTTGCTGAGGGTCTGCAGTTGATCCTTGGACAGCGCTTGTACTTGCAGGCGCAACACCGTTCCTGCCTGCTTCATCAGCGTCACCAAGGCGCTGTGCGAGGCATGGCGCACATCCTGCCCGTTGACCTTGAGGATGCGATCGCCCGGGTTCACGCCAGCCTGATGCAGGGTTGAAAGGGGAGCGTGACAGGGGTTGAAGCAAGGAGTAATCAGGGGTATTGGGCAGTGAAAAAGCAACTAAAGGATGAGCCAGCTGTGTGTGTGTGTGTGTGTGTGTGTGTGTGTGTGTGTGTGTGTGTGTGTGTGGATGTACAAAGCTGAAAACTGGACAACTAGACAATCCTCTTGTGTGTAGCTTGTACGTCCTTTTCACTCTCACTCAACGCCACGTTGTTTTTCTTCAAAGGTTCACACGCTCAAACGAGCACCTCAACTCCCACGTTACCTTGTGTGCTGGTCCGTCGGGCTCAATGACGCGGAAGAAGTGCACGCCGCCCATCAAGGCGAGGTTGAACCCATACCCCTTTGGGCCCTTGGTGATCTCCACGTCCCGTGCTACACAACACCACCAAACAGCCAAATAAACAACAGAGCACAAGGGGGGAATAGAGCATCAAGAGCCAAACCAAACGAAGGAATAGACATATGGTGTGAGCAGTCGAGGAGTGGGCGAACAGACAGACGGACATCCTTTTGCAGGACAGAGAGCGAGATAGGCACACAACAACAAGAGGCGATGCATACACACACCTGGTGCCTCCGCCATGCTTGTTGTTGCTTGCTTGCTTGCTTGCAAGCTTTTTTGTTGTCTTGTTGTTTGTGGGCGGTGTTTGTTGTCGTTTCGACAGCAAAATTGACGTTGATGGCAAAGGCAAATTTACTTTCCCTCCACCACACCCAATACAGAGGCAGGCGGGGAGTGAACCTCACACACAAAGCAGACAGACAGAGAGACACAAGCACACAAGCACACAAGCACACAAGCACACACACAAGCACACACACACACACACACACACACACACACACACAGACGCAGGATGCCGCGCGCAAAGTCAAGGCCTCGCCAGCGAGCGAGGCGAAACAGGGGCAGAACAAACAGGTGGAAGCTGGCGGCGCATCACAAGGAAGACCTCATGGCCGCGTTGGCCATCACAAACAAGGTCATCGAAGCCCTCATGACCCTCCTCGCCATCTACCTTCTCACAGAACTTCACGCCATCCCGCTAGGCTGCAGGCACGTTGTGTTTGTATGTGCTTGTTTGTGTGTTGTGTGTGTGTTTGTTTGTGTGTTGTGTGTATGCTTGTGTGTGTTTGTGTTTGTATGTGCTTGTGTTTGTATGTGCTTGTGTGTGTGCTTGTGTGTATGTGCTTGTTTGCTTGCCTGTGTGTGTGTGTGTGTGTGTGTGTGTGTGTGTGTGTGTGTGTGTGTGTGTGTGTGCAGGTGCACATGTGTCCAAGCCACACTTGCTACCGCTTCCATGGCAAGCGACTCTCCTTGTTGCTCCACACCCACACTCATGTGCGCACCCCCCACGCAACTTCTCGCAAACGCGTGTTGTACTACATGTAGGTTTTTCGACTGCTTACAAGTATGGGTGGAAAAAGGCGGTCAGGATGAGCCAGACTTCTTCGCACGTCCCGTGAGTTTACCATCCTTGGCCTTCACCCACATTCCGCTCATCATGGCTCTCTCCTCTTCCAGCCGTGCACACACATACGCCAACGATGTTTTTGAAACAAACTGCACCTTTGTTGCTTGAGGTTCCTGGCTGTTGCTTCTTCCTTGTATCCGCAACGCCCAAAGTGTGGGCCCCCCTCAACCCCACTTCCTCATCCCCAACTCTCCCCCCTTCCCAAACCAAATACGCACATTCATAAATCGTCTTACGCGACAACGCTGGTTGTGCCTCCAGTGCTCCATCCAGCGTGAGCTGTGCCACTTCTCATATGGCCGCCCAGACCTCTGGCGAGAGGACGCGATGGCTGGCGAACTCTCGCTGGAACTGAACCAGACCTACGGCGCCGTTGCCGCCTACTGCCAGTGCCTGCTGGAGCGCCGTGATTTCCCCATCTTCTGCGACTTCAACCTCAGCCGCGCAGTGTTCTTCATCTACGGCCTGCTGCTCGTGGCGCTGATGGAGGCCACGTCCACCGTCAAGGGGCTGCGACACTACTCCCTGCGAGCACTGGGCATCTTCATGGTCGTCGTGTTGTACATGTCCATCTACATCTACTTCAACGCCGCGCAGAGCACGTGCGACTCGTTTGAGCTGATGGTGTCGCTGCGCGTCATCAACGCCATCTGCTATTCGTCGTTCTTCATCCTGGCTGTCAGCGGGCTGCTTGAGCTGCACTTCTGGGTCAGGGCATTTAGGAAAGGGAAGACGGAGGAGCTCCTGCTGGACCTCCAATCCAACAAGGCCATCGCAAACTAGTGCCGGCGGCCTGCGGTGGTGCACACGGCATCGTGACGCAGGCGATACAACGTCACCATTTCTTGCGTGCCTGTGTGTGTGTGTTTGTGTGTGTGTGTGTGTGTGTGTGTGTGTGTGTGTGTGTGTGTGTGTGTGTGTGTGTGTGTGTGTGTACGTGCAAGTGTACGTGCATGTGTACGTGCATGTGTACGTGCAAGTGTGTGTGTGTGGCCTTTGGTGTGATTCTCATGTATGATTCTCAGGTGTCCGACTGCGTGTGAGGGTGGCTGTCGTATTGCCACCTTGTTGCATATGTAGATCCAAGCAAATAGCGTGCTTGATGCTGTCGTTGTGGTGTTGCGCCCCCTCCTCCTTCTTCCCCCCCCCCTATATCCCGCTGATTTTACGGCGTATGCCAATGAATGCCATCACTGCCTGTCCCCTCCCACTGCCTCCTCATGCTTCTCAAACCCCCCCCCCCCCCTTTTGTCGATTGCACGATTCTCGTGGTGCGTGACATGCTGCTCGCCCCTGTGCTGTTCGCCACGTGTCCACCCCTTCCGTCACATGCGTTTCACCAACGCTGCCTGGTCTCATGGGTAATGATGCTGATGTGACATTCATCATTGTATGTAGCTTGGAACCCATTACACGAACCCCCATTTTCAACTGGTGCAAGCGAAGAGTACGTCGGAGGGAAAGAGGGGAAAGAGATAAGCGACGGACACATACCACACACACACACACACACACACACACACACACACACACACACACACACACACACACACACACACACACACACACACACACACACACACACACACATGTCAATGGGCAGCGGCTAGACGATGACGGTCCAGCCCGCACTCTTCAGTGCATCAACGACATCAGCAGACACCTGCACAGCACCACCGCCGATATGGACCTCAACACGCGGCAATGGCGGGGCGGCGGTGGCTGCGTTGCACACGGAGGTGATGGGGTTGTTGCGCACGTCCACGCGCTGCAGACTCGAGAGACCTGACGATGGTGGTGGTGATGTTGCCGGTGATGTTGCCGGTGATATTGGCGGTGTGATTAGTCATTGCAGAACCGAGGATGATGTGAGAGGGTGGGCACACAGATGTTTTACACACACACACACACACACACACACACACACACACACACACACACACACACACACACACACACACACACACACACACACACACACACACACGCACACACACGCACACCTTGAAACCAGGCCATATCCAGCGTGGAGATGTGGTTTCCGCTCGCATTCACTGATTCGACTCGTGGTAGCACACTCAGGCTGTTGCAGAGACCAGAGACGGGGGGTTGTGGAGTGTTGGTGTGCGAACAGTGTTTGTGACACACACACATGCACTCACTCACACACATGCACATGCACTCACTCTCACACACACACATGCACTCACTCTCACACATACAGACATACACACATCACATCACACACCGTGCGAGGGTTGTGAGAGCATTATCGCTGACATCGACGTATTTGGCGTGACATGCAGACTCAATGCCGTCCAAACAAGAGAGATGAAGGGAGGACAGCGAGAGCGTCGTGTCATCGTCAGCCTCACTCAACTGTTGAGCGATATTCAACCTGAGAAAAATGGTTTGTGACACAGGCAGGGGCAACGACAGACAGCGTATCATGGATGCATGAGGGAGACACAGATCTGACATGGACCACGACAAAGCACGCTCATTGTGCTGCACATAAGCACAAACAAGGACGGCGAGCATACAAATTGTGATTGATGTGTGTACACATGTAGAACGAAGCAGGTTCACCTCACGAACGAACAAACACACACGCAAAAGTTTGCAAGCAGCAAGTGTTCAACCACACAGCCAACCACACAACAAAGCAACACAGCACCTGCTGCACATTTCTCTGTAGAATCCGCGCCTGAGAGGATCAGCCGTCTGCAGCTGCGTGAACCATTGCAGACACAACCGCTTCGTGTCGGCGGCATCTGGCACGTGCGTCGTGTACGCATACGCGAGCGTTTGCAGACACGCGCGCATGTCCGTCTCGGTCAGATCCTATCAGGCCGTGCAATGCGATGCAATGCAATGTAATGCAATGGGGTGCATGGATACAATGGTGTTGTGGCGCGCGGTGTTGTGAGCTGCTGAGCGAAATTGATGCAGCTATCGATACACACTCTCGAGCCTGGCACCGCCCCACCCATACACCCACACACACACACACACACACACCCACACACACACACACCACACACACACACACACACACACACACACACACACACACACACACACACACACACACACACACACACACACACACACACACACACACACACACACACACACACACACACAAACCAACGCACCGCCAAGAGCTCCAGCAGCATGTCGACGACGCCCTGGACGCGCTCGGGCAGAGCAGTAACAGCAGCAGCGGCGCTCCGCCACAGCCCATCCTGGCGCACCTGAACGCAACGTGTTGACGCGGGAGGCGAGATACAATGGTCACGTATGTGTATGTGTGTGTTTGTGTGCGTGTGTATGTATGTATGTGTATTGATGGGGCCAACGATGCCACTGGTGCCATCAAACATCGCAAGCGCATGAGAACAAACCAAGAGCATACCTCAATTGCACCTGTCACAAGTGGTGGTTGTGACCCATCACTGCCATCGCACTCCTGACGCCGTGGCGCAAAGGCAACAACGGAAGGTGAGCAGTGATGTAAGGCAAATCGCAAAGTGAAACAGACAAGAACATCCCAAACAACACCAACAGACTTCGTGGTCTCACGCCACCACATCCTCACCACCACCATCAACCCACCGCTGCTGTGATGGTGACAGCGGGGCAGTGCTCTGCGAGATGGAGAGTCCACACGGCGCCAGACCGCCCAACGCACGACGACGACTGCACACACACGCGCGCACCGCCATCATCGCCGCTGGTGATGGTGATCGCATCAGCCACCTGGAGCAGGCACACAGGACAACGGGCGGAGAGCGTGTGTGTGAATGTGTGCTTATGTGCATGAGTGCGTGTGCGTGCATGTGTACGAGAAAGTGTGTGGGTGAATGTAGAATCAAGCGAGAATTGCAAAAGATTACACGCACACGCACACATGTGCGGCAGAGAATGCCCACCTTGACGGGCTGATCACAGACAATGACAAGTGTGCGGTTGTGGAGGAACACAACGCGCGGGCGGGCAGGTGCGGGTCCTGTTTTGTGTGTGTGTATGTGTGTGTGTGTGTGTGCGTGTGTGTGTGCGTGTGTGTGTGTATGTGTGTGTGTATGTGTATGTGTATGTGTGTGTGTGTGTGTGTTCGAGTGTTGCGATGCGGCAGCGCGGTGATGTATGGCAGTGTGGATTTGTGATTGCAAGACGCAGGCAGAGTGCGATGCTTGAAATTAAGATGAGGAACAGTGCAGACGGGTAGGTGTCATCGAGGAAACACGGAAAGATACTGGCATCAGATACAGTCGTCATGGCACTGCCGTGCTTGACACGTGACGCACGTGGGGTGAGCAGCCATTGGAGGTAGATCCAACTCGACTGGTCAACGGGATCAATGAAAATGGGGTCCGTCACCAGCGCAAGCTCTGTACACACACACACACGCGCGCGCGCGCGTGCGCAAAACAAATTGGGAGATGGCAGTAAGTGTGTGAGAAAGTGTGAGTGTGTGAATGTTTGTTATGAGCATAGTAAGAAGGAAAACTGTGTCATAGGCCACCTGCATGCAACAGGAGCATGTCCCAGCACGCAGTTGTCCACGCACACACACACACACACACACACACACACACACACACACACACACACACACACACACACACACACACACACACACACACACACACACACACCTTCCTTCCACACAGCGGCAGGAAGTTCGAGGCCAAACTGCACGCTGTGCTCCGCCATCAGCAGCTTGCTGCAGCCAGAGAGGAAGAGGTTGCAAGAAAGATGTGCACGTGTACGCGCATGAGAGAGAGAGAGAGAAGCGAGGGATGTGTGTGTGTGTGCGTGTGTGTATGTTCATATGTTGAAAGATGACTCCAACAGCTGTGCGCTCAGACCAAGAAGCGGCGTGACGTATGTCATGTGCGTGTTTGGGCCATCACTGCCAGATGCATGACAGCAACAGCAGCAAAACAACACCTTCACAAACAGCAACTGCGCGGTGTTCCCACCTGCGGTAGTGCCACGCAGAGTAGTTTGAAAAGTTCTCAACAACTTTGTCCTACCAACAGCGAGATGGATGGGGATGATGATGGATGACGTGAAAACGACGCAAAACCGGGGCTCCCGTTAGCCTCATGAGGCCACGAATCAACCCAGTACACCCACCCCCAAACACACACACACAGACACACAGACACACACACACACAGACACACACACACATACACACACACCCCCTCATAATACCACGTCAGCTGCAACCTTGGCGAATTGCTTCTCGTCAATCTTGGCTTGCGCCTCAGGTGGAATCTGCGAAACAACAAAGCGGCGGTAGTCCCAGCAGTGGACTGCACACGCACACGTGTAAGTGAGCGTTGACTCTCTGGATGAGTGTGGCATCAAGAGGAAACTGATTGCACACGATGATGCTTGAAGACAACATTGAACACACAAACACACCACATACACATACACACATACACCACATACACAAACGAACATAGCACAACATGCGTTTGGTGCACTCCGAGACATAGCAAGTGTACTCACAGTTGCGCTCATCAAGGCCAAGGTAGCGCGTGGTGAGGGCAAGCTCCTGCTGCAAGACATCTTCCCCACCAACTTGCAGCACGCACCAACGCCGCTGTAACCGACATAACCATCACAACACAGACACACACACACAGACACAGACACACACACACATGCACACATGTGAAGGAACAACAGCATGAGATCGGAGGCACTTCAAATGGCAGCAGAAAAGGCCCTAGACAGAAGAATGAAACCATAGCGTACACAGTAAGACGGCTGCTTACATGGTGCCACGCCGAATACGACTTTGGGTTGCGCTTCAAACAAGTGGTGGACAGCTGCAACTCCTCCTTAATCTTCCCAGCATACTCCTCTTCCGTCCTGGCGAGCAAGCGTGTGGTGGTTGTGACGATGACGATGGGGATTATGATGATGGTTATGATGATACAGCAGAACATCGCAAGTGCACCATGTGTGAAGTCGAACACCACACAAGGAAGCACAGTGTCAGGTCATACAAGCGTGTGTGTCAGCGTACATGTCTTTCTTGTTGTGGAGGAGGATCTCGCGGCGGTAGTTGAAGAGCGTAGCCACATCCGGGTTCTGCTCAAGCAAGCGGGCCGTCATGTCCATGGCCTCCGGTGCATGGCTTCCTTCCGCCCTCTACGTGTTCGCACGAGCGCGCCAGTTATTCGTGCATGAGCACGAACAACGCACATGCGCACGCACGCAGGAAGCAAGCAAGGTAACTCATACACACACGCTCACACGCTCACACACTCACACACTCACACACTCACACACTCACACACTCACACACTCACACGCTCACACACTCACACACTCACACACTCACACACTCACACACTCACACACACTCACAATCACACTCACACACGCTGACCAGAGTGAAGATCTTGTTTTTGACAGCGGCAAACTGCTGGGCCTGCTTCTGCCGCTCCTTGCGTTTGATCTCCGCCTGCTCTGCAGACGTTCGCACCTTGACGCGTCCATGCTACACACGCATGCCATGCAGTCGCGCGCGTTGAGGTGGGGTGAGGTGAGGTGAGGTGAGGTGAGGGCATGCATGCGCGCTGGGGTCGCCGTGACATGGCACAGCAAACGCACAGACCCACCATCTCCGCTGTTGTTGATGACGAGGCGGACTTTGCGACAGCACATAAATCGCATGTCACCACCGAGGACAGCAGGAGGCATGGATCCTCTGGACGAACGGCAACAACATGAGCGGGTGAGCAGGTGAGCGAGTGAGTGTGAGCAGAGGCAGATGCAAGTGTGTCTGTGTGTGTGTGTGTCTGTGTCTGTGTGTTTGTGTGTGTGTGTATGTGTGTGTGTGTGTGTTTGTGTGAGCGCGTTGTGTGTGTGTGTGTGTGATTGTGTGTGTCTGTGTCTGTGTTTGTGTTTGTGCCGGAGTCTGTGTGAGCGCGCTCCTCGGTGTTGTGAGGCACTGTTGTTTCTCGCATCCACTTCGCGCATGAATGTTGCTTATCTCCTTCGCTTTTACCCGACGCAACTGTGACAGGAGATGGAGGAGCTCCGGCACACCTTTCCCAAGGTGTTCAGGGCTGTTCCTCTCAAGGAGGCCGACGCCATGCCAGACACAAAGACGGTTCGTACGTGAAAGCAAAAGTGAGATTGGGCGTGGTGACGGGAAGTTGAGTTAACGTTGCTCATGGGCACGTCTCTCACTCACTCACACATACACACACGCACACACAAACGTACACACAAACACACACACACACACAAACAAACAAACCCATACAAATACACACACACAAACAAACAAACAAACTCATACAAACACACACATACACACACACACACACACACACACACACACACACACACACACACACACACACACACACACACACACACACACACACACGCATGCGTATTTGCAGGTGGTGCTGATTCGCCATGGACAAGGGCATCACAACTTGGCGGCCATTGAAGCCGGGCACGGTTGCACGTGTAAATACGGCGTGCCAAGCAAAGAAACCCCGTGCCCATACATCAACGAAGACCTGGTTGACCCAGCACTGACAGAGAAGGGCAAGGCTGAGGCACAACACGGCGCACAGGCGCTGCAGCGTGCCATTGAGGAAGGCCACCACGCCCCACTGGACATGGTGTTCGTGTCCCCACTCAAACGCACGCTGCAGACTGCAAGCCTTGTGTTCCCTTCCGAGAAAGCCCGTCCCCGGATGGTCGCTGTGGAGCACCTTCGCGAGCAGCTCGGCGTCCACCACTGCGACATGCGCAGCCCCATCTCACACGTGTCGCAGCACTTCCCGCACATCGACTTCTCCCACATCCCCAGTGACCACGATGCCCTCTGGTCGCCTCGCCGCGAAACAAAGGCAGAGCTGGCCGAGCGCGCCACCACCGCCATGCGTCGCGTCTTTGATATTGCCGACGCCAGCACCTCCCCTATTGGTATCGTGTCGCACTCCTCGTTTCTCGCAGCACTCGTCAACATCGTTGTCGACACCACCGCTTGCGAGCACGTTGCTGCCCCCTTCGCCACAGGGGAGGTGCGCTCCGTTGCGCTGCAGCTGCAAACCAGTTCCAACATCGTTCCACGCCCACTCCCTCACAACGACGATCACAATAACCACTGCGACAGCAAGGACGATGCCGACGGTGGTGGTGGTGGTGGAACCACGTAGGCAATGTACAATCAAGCGTCTGGCTGCCAGCCTTCAGTTGCCTGTCGCACGTGTTTCTGTTGGCAGCTTCGCCAAACGAAGCGGGTTTCATCCTGTTTGTGTTCTTCATCACACAACACGGCACATTCACTTTGTGCATCGTGTGCCGTTGTGCGCGGTTCGCATTTCAAGTAAACAACATCACATTGCGCGCGAAACGAAAGCGTACAACACCTCTGTTGTTATCTTCTTCGGTGCGTGCGGCGCTGTGTAGTTTGAACCGCCTCATAACAACCATCAGCCCAGATCCAGAGAAGCGATAAGCAGCATGCATGGGCTGGGAAAGAATGGTAACACAGAGGGTGCCACAGACGGTTGGCAAGGTGACAAAACTGAATGCTCGCAGGTAACACAATGGGGAGGGGCAAATTAACAAAACAAGGCAGTCGTGCGTGCGTGCCAAAGGGCAGCCAGCGTTGCAGGGAAAGGTAGGAGGCGGCGGAATAGAAACGTCGGGATACAGAACAGTTGCGAGACTGCATGCATGCAGGCAAGAAAGAAAGGAAGAAAGAAAGAAAGAAAGAAAAGCGCGCCGGCAAACGAAAGAAAACAAGAGTGTTTGTTCGACTGAACAACTGAAAGACGGTCAACCGGTGGGGTGCGAGCGATGATTGCCACAGTGTGACCATCACAAGCATCCACACTGCAAGTGCAGCATTGTGTCTCCACACACACACACACACACACGCACACACACACGCACACACACACACACACACACACACACACACACACACACACACACACACACACACACACACACACACACACACACACACGCAGTCACGCAGTCACACGTGCGGCTTGTGGGGTGCACGTCGTCAAGCCAACACACCCAAAACTCAGAACTCCGAGAAGGGCTTGACGAAGATCTGGAGGTTTTTGTGGACGGGGTGGTCCACGCCCTGACCGCACGTGCACGAGCTGCCGGCAGAGAAGCAGCGATGAGATGTCGAGCGCTCGTTGGTGGAGTATGATGAATTCATCTGGACGGCACCTGCAGAAGATAAGCAGATACTTGGCTGCCAAAGGGAGTGCACAGATAGCTTGGCTGACACACACAGGTACACACACATACGCACGTACGCACAATACGCACATATGCACGCAATGAGTTGACTCACTCGCGGTACTGGTAGCCAGCGCCGTGCAAGACCTTGAGCCAGCCACCGTCAGCCCCCGTCTGGTCGCAGAAGCCACGAAAGACATTGTCGCCAGCGCGAAGGTAGTATGCCTGGCTGCGTGTCAAGCCTGTTGAAAGGACAGTACTGCACGACTGCGCTGGACTATCCGGAAGCAGACCATCCACAAGGTTCACAGTGGACTCGTCCAGGGGTTTCACCCAAATTGTGAAATCTGAAAATCACATAAAATGTAAAACACAAACAAACAAACAAACAAACAAACAAACAAACAAACATGTATTCTTGTGAGGTTGATTGTTGCGAATCAATCGAAGAGAAGGAAGATAAAAGTGTTCATGTGTGTGCGCACAACTGTGCGTATGCATGTGTGTATGTGTGTGAGACTGTTTGTGTGTGTGTGTGTGTGTGTTAGTGTGTGTGACTGAATGTGTGTATGTGCTCCTATGTACACTGGAGGTGGTGTTCGTTGCGACAGCTCACCCTTGTGTGGTGGATAGTTGGAGCTGCTGCCGCAGGTACATTGTGATCCTGTCGGCGTGACCATGGATTGGCAGAGTGAGCAGGAGTGCATCTCATTCGGGTGAAGTTAAGAATAATTCAGCCGTCATAACACCACACAGCGTACCAACAGAAGAATACAGAGCAGGAGCAGAAACCCACACACACACACACACACACACACACACACACACACACACACACACAAACAGACCTGCGCTCATGCAGCGACGGGAGTTGTCGCTTGGGCCATAGCACGTGTAGTGGTTGTCACTCCCGCGATGCCCGAAGAAGAACCGGTTGCACGATTGATCCAAGTCACCACTGACGTAATACGTGTCAAGCAGGTTAAGGCCGCCGCCGTTGTCATACCCGCGCATGTCCCCCGTGTTCCAGTTACCATCACACTCGGCAAGCGTCGGTGCAAGGCAGTGAATGTGCACTGAAGCAAAAGCGGACGACAACAATGTACCAAAAGGAAACCCACAGGGTGTGATAGTGAGATTGAGCACAAAGCAAACACAAGGTATGCCATGCGTACAAGCAGCTGCCAGCACACACACACACACACACACATATGCAACACTCACATGTACGCACACACACATACACTCTCACACACACATATTCAGGCACACTCACACACACACACGTACTCACATGTACGCACGCACACACCTACACTCACACTCTCACACACACATACTCAGACACACTCACAAGTACACAAGCACACAAGTACACCCATGCAAACCAAGCGTGGTTCGACGCACCTTCATCCAGTGCGAGACCAAGGTCTATTCGCGTGTCCACATACGAGTGGGGCGTGATGATGTACAAGTTGTTGTTTGTGCAGCCCGACTCGATCTTCCACACGCGAAAGTCAGAGGCTGACGACTTGATGCTGTTGATTTGCACGTCTGAGAGCTTGCTGAAGGATGACACGAGGTCCTTCGTGGCAATGTTGCCCACGGATCCTATTTCATGTATGACACACACGCGCGCAAACCAAGGTGAGGCGTTGCCGGGCAATGACAGCCTCTTGTCCGAGGCCTTACTTCATTGTCTCCACATCGCTTCAGAGCAGCGCATGTGTACACACAGACTTCCAAGACCATTCTCGAAACAGCATCGTTATGGCCTTGGCCTCACCACTGCAAACACATATGCACACACAAACCTGTGCTGTCATCGGTCCAGCCCACGTAGTTCTGTCCCGGATACTGAAGCACCTTCGCCCACTTGCCGCCATCGCGCTGGAAGTCACAAAACGCCTGTGCTCCCAAAAGTGGCACATGACGAAGATACTCATCGTTGTCGTGAGCGCCACCGATACAAAAACACAGTCACAGATGCACACACACTCTCTCTCACACACACAAATACACACACGCACTCATTCACTCACTCACTCACTCACTCACTCACTCACAAATTCAAACACACACACACACAAATACACACACGCACTCATTCACTCACTCACTCACTCACTCACTCACTCACAAATACACACACACACAAATACACACACGCACTCACTCACTCACTCACTCACTCACTCACTCACTCACTCACAAATTCAAACACACACACACACAAATACACACACGCACTCATTCACTCACTCACTCACTCACTCACTCACTCACTCACAAATACAAACACACACACACACCGTGAAAACGCCGGTGGAGGTGGAAAAGTAGTAGACGCCGTCATCTTTCGATGTCACTTCGCCGCAGGTGGATGCAGGGGAATCCGGAACAAGGCCACGGCTCGATGCCTGCAGGCAATAGCAACAGCAACACAGCACAAGAAAGAACAACGCACACGCACACACACGCACACACACGCACACACACGCACACACCATGAGCTCAGTCAAGCTCTTCTTGACACCATGCCTTGTCACTTAACGCAAATCTCGCCTGAGTGTTCAACCTCGCGTGTGAGAGACATTGACTGTCTACCTTTTGGAAAGCTGCAAAGTCTGCTTGCTTGGACAGGATGGTTGAGATCTGGCCTTGGACTTGCAACAGCGTGTCTGCTTGGCTGGTCTGTGTTGATTCGCTTGCAGAGAGCTTTGACGTGAGCTCGCCCACGACGCCACCCATGCCCTCGAAGAGCGTGGATACCTCCTGGCTCAGCTCGCCGGTGGCCATGCTGGCCTCCGCGGCGGCTCGGTTCACATGCCGCTGCACATCTTGGATGCTGTCTGTGAGGCTGGCGTTGACGCCATCCAGGGACGACCACGTGGCGGCGAGAGACGCGTTGATGGCAGCGAAAGAGCGGGCAATGGCCGCCTCCATGGAGCTGAACCGCGGCACAAGCGCATCCGTCACCACCTCGCTGGTGGTGGAGATTTCGGTGCGCAGCGCGCCCTCCACGTCGGTCACGGTGTCGTTCACGCGCTGCACGTCGCCCCTTCAAAGCCAGCGTTGGCAGTGTTGACAAAAACGCCCTTGATGTCCGTGACGCTCACGGGATGGTCATTGTTGTTGCTGCTTGCCGTTTTTGGTCTGGAACACAAATGTCGTTGCCAGCCCTGCAGGTACAGCGTGCCGTTTGCGGGCCCACATCTGCGGGGGCTCCATTTCCGTTGTCGCTGCCGGCAGTGCCGAAAGCATTTCCCGGCAGGTCTGCAATCACCCTGCGACACTGCCCGGGAACCCGAACTGACAGTTTGAGGGTGGCCGTGCCAGGCCGAGGAAGCCTGGTGAGGCCTGCACCACGTTCGTCGGCACGGTGGCATTGCTGTTGGCAGCAGCATCGGTGTCACACGTGTCTGCCTCCCTGTGCATTTCACAACACCAAGAAAATTGCTCCCAGTACCCCAGCACGAGTGCCAGCAGCACCGACACGCGCGCAGTCACGCCACACATTGTGTATGTGTCTGTGTCTGTGTCTGTCTGTGTCTGTGTGAGCAGCTGGTTGCGGTGGGGAAGGGGCAAACAACAAAACAACAGCTTGCTTCTTGCTTGCTTGCTTCTTGTGATTTGAAAACAAAACTGAAATCAGTTCAAATCGGGAGCTTTTGTCAGAATTGCATTTCCTGATCAGAGGCCACACAGAGCAACCTGCAGCAGCCAACACCAACATCATCAGCATCGGCACAAGCGTCTGTGCAGGCTGAGGTGCTGCAATCGTTGATGGCACTCGTGCGTCGCCACCATGCACTTGCTGCAGCTGGCAGGCACAACAGGGTGGTGATGGCGGCGATGGTGGTGATGGTGAAGTGGCATCGGTGCAGAAGAAGCAGCACGTGCAGCGGCAACAGGTGCCGCGTCGCAGGATGAGGGATTGGGGGTGGCTACACACACACACACACACACACACACACACACACACACACACACACACACACACACACACACACACACACAGAGAGAGATGAACACACCACGTGCGGGTAGCCGAGGCGTCAAAGGAAGCGACGGTCACGGCAACATTGAGGGAGGAGATGGTAGTGAGGCCAAGCTGGATGGTGTACTCGATCTGGCACCAGGGGCCGTGCAGCAATGGAGGGATGGTGTTGGCAGCAAGGCGCAACGAGGGAAGGCGCACACACAGAGGGGAAGGACGGAAACAAAGGGCGGAGAGAGAGACACGCGCATGCACACACAGCACATACACACACAGAGGCACAGCACACAGACACGCAGCACACAGCAAAGAGACATACACGACACCTTTTGCACAGCGTTGATGCAGCGTTGGGTGGATGCGTTGTAACGGATGGTGCAATCACCATCACATCCACCTGTAAAGGCAAAGCAAGGGCGGGAAAATGTCATGCGGGGTCATGTGAGGTCATGTGAAGTCACAGACAATGAGACACTCATACACACACACACACCAAACACTCCTCACACACACACCAAACACTCCTCACACAACACATCACACACACAGACACATACACACAAACACTTCCTTACACTACACACACACACACCACACACAACACCACATCACTTCCCACTTCCTCCCTCCTCCTTCCCAAGGTCTCGACTGACTGTAAGAGATTTGGATGTTGGTTGTGATGCCTGTGTATGTTGCAAGGACCGCGGCGTCTGCTGGGACCGGCACATCAAGGTCGCCACCAGGACTGCACATTGCCCAAACACGCTCGGCATCGTCTGCCGCTGGGATGATGCGGGTGCACGTGCCTGGCGCAGACGCAAAGAGGCGCGTTGGATTGCGTGGTGCACCCCCCTTCCTGCAGCGTGTCGGCGGGAAAAGGCAGCGGTGTGAGCGTCGTGCTGTCCTGCGTGATGTACACGATCGCGCCATACGTGACGTAAAAGGGGAAAGGGTCTTGGCGTGGGATGGTGTTGCGTGGCGGAATGAAGATGGCCTCCTCCGGCGTGTACTGCAGCGTCTCGAGGCTGAAGGATATGGGGTGGGGGCGTGCAGCGTCTGCGAATGCCTGGAACGCGGCGTCATTGAGCGGCGTGCGCGGCTCCCTGAACGAGATGCGGTCATTTGTGTTGTCGACCAGCACGCACGCGATGCTGCTGCCCTCTGCTGCTTGGATGGCCTGGTTTCTGCCCTCGTTGGTGACGAAGAAGTCGTCGTACACGCACCTGCGCAAGGGCTTGATGTCTGGCGTGTTGCAGTAGGCAAAGCGCACTTTCACCAGCGTCGTGCATGACGGATCACAGCAGCAGTTTGCGTTGCACTCCGCCGTGAGATCGCATGGGCACTCGGCAAACGAGGATGCGCATGGATCTCAGCTCCGCACCTGCGCAAACGCGGGCGGCGTTGTTGTTCAAGTTGCTGACAGTGCACTTGTTAAGTTGCTGTTACTGCAGCTGTTGTGGTGGTCGTCGTCGGAAGAGTGGTGGTGGTGGTGGGTGTTCTGGGAAGCTGCAGGTGCAGCCATGGGCACAGCAGCAGCAACAACAACAACAGCGACAAGAACAGCCACCACAGCACCTCTGCGGCACATCGATGCACGTCGAACCATGGCCGTGCCCATACGGAGACAAGACAGAGACAGTCCGCCGACGACACAGCAAAGCAGACAACTGCTGTTGCCGAGGAATCATGGAAATCATCTTCATTTTTCGGCCTGTGGTTTGCCATTTTCCCTCGCTCGGTTTTTCAAAAACGAAACACCACCAACATCAACCACCACCCGCGACAAGACAACAAGACAATCGCAGACACTCAAGATGACAGCCGCGCAGGCTTCGACACCGGTGAGGCCATCTGACAAAGTGTGGTGGGCCATTGAGGGCTGAGCAAGCGATGGAGAGGGAGCCGTTCAACGTGCCTTGCAGCACGCAGCATGTGCAACGGTGACGGCCCAGCATCACTTGTTGTCGAAGCACTTGCCTGCTAGCACAAATGCGCGCGCTTTTTGAGTTGCTCACACATGTACGCCTGCACACACGCACACACACACACACACGCGCGCACATATGATGGACGATGCAAGGGAGAGGATTCAAACAACAGTACCGCAATGTCCACCTCTCAAAAGGGGAAAACCAAAGAGCCTGAGCTCATGACAAGCCTGTCGACAAACGACGTGAGTTATTGTTTGGGTTGTGTGCGAACGTGTGGCGATAGCCCGAGAGGGCGCGTGTATGAGTGTCTGGCTATGTGCATGTACATGTGCGCACCTGTGTATGTGTGAGTGTGTGCACCTGTGTATGTGTGAGTGTGCACCTGTGTGTATGTTTACGTTTGTGTATATGTATGTGTGTGTGCATATGTGTGTGCATGTGTGTGCGTTTGAGTGTGCATATGTGTGTGTGCGTGTGTGCACTCGGAAACCATCATCAACACGCTCTTGGCGCCAAAATTGTCTACGTGCACACCAGCCATAATCTCACTTTGTGGGCACCTGCTGTACTTCGTCCAATCGACCCGCCCTTCTTGCTTTCAGGCTGGCGTTCTTGCGCGCGCATATCTGCAAGCAGCAACAGACGAGTACAACAACCTTTTGGGGGACGCTCAGCTAGGCCCCGACTCAGACTACCAAACCTCTGTTGAGCAGATCAAAACAATCGCCGCCAAGTACAAGCTCAAAGCCTTTCCTCTGTCACCGAAATCTGAGGCACAGCAATACGTCAAGAGCTTGCTGGAGAAGCCCTTCACCGACAACATCAAGGACCTGCTCCAGCAAGTCCGCAGTGTGCTGGATGAAACGACGCCGACGCCACAGGTGACCTTGAGGGTTGCAAAAGGGTTCCTGAAGAAGCTTGACAACGTGACACGCAAAGGGCTGTCCGAAGAGCAACGGCAGTTTCGACAAGGTGCGCCTGTCTCACTCTGCCTTGAATGTGCGGCTGTGTTACCAAATGAGCTGATGCTTGTGTGTGTGTGTGTGTGTGTGTGTGTGTGTGTGTGTGTGTGTGTGTGTGTGTGTGTGTGTGTGCATCAGTGTTGTTAGATTACTGCGAGCAGCCCTGTGCATGAGCACCCTGGTTGACTGACACGTTGCTGGCAGATTGTTTTGAACTCATACTGGCTGTTTGGTGTGGTTCGTGGCAGATTTGGAGTCAAGCGTAACCCCCAGCAGCGCTGCCAAGGAGAAGGAGAAGAACAAGGATTCGGCCCACAGAACAGTCTATGCGCAGCCGTTCTCTGCCGAGCTTCTCTGCCCCAACTGGCACCTGCACAACGAGGGGTTTCAACGGGCAGTCGATCAGGGCACAAAGAGGGGTAAGGTCGTTGTCGAGCATGTGTTTGCTTGCTGTGTACACGTGTACATGTGAGCGTCCTTTTCACGAGAGAACGTGGCATGTGTGTGTGTGTTTATGTGTCGGTGTTGATGCATGGTGGTTGGGTCTTTGGCACTCGTGCGCGGGTGTGCTGGCACTGGAAGGGAATGTCTCTCTGTCGCTCACACCAACGCTGCACCATGCACGCCCACCGCACTGCAGGCTTTTCTGGCGTATTTTGCACGCCAGAGACGCGGTTCAACGACCGCATGAAGATACCTCTGCTCAAGGCTTGTGGTGATGCAAAAGTGGACGTCAAGAGCCATGCATCATTTGAGGCCGACACCGCTGTTGTCGCCGACTATGTTGTGCGTCTGATGTCAAACCTTGACTTCTACCCGCTGTTGCTTGAGCTCAAGACCGATGGCAGCCAGCCGACGCAGGATGCTGCCAAGGCGCAGGTGCTGGAGTACGCATCACGGGCCATCAAGTCTGCGGGGCCGCAATGGCGTAAGTTGAAGGGGTATTTGTTTCCCTTTGCCATCACCGTCTGCGGGCAGAACGTGTCCGTGTACGCGTGCACGCTGGGCGATGAGGTGCACGGCAAGGAGGCCTTTCCCAGCGTCCTCCACACAAAACTTTGCGACACCAAAGTGAGTTGCCACCGCATGTGCGAACAGAGAAGAAGGGTGTGCGTTGTGTGTGTGTGTGTGTGTGGCACACATGCTCCTGCGCGTGTGCATGTGCAGTTGCTATCGACTGGCTGTCGCCTTGTATACTGCTAATTGTCGTTGGACATGGCGCTCACATTGGTTTCCTGTGCTGTGGACTGTAGTTGGAGAAACTCGGGAATGTCATTGAGTGGCTGCTTGACAAAGAGCACATGGCGCATTACGAGAATATTGCCGCCATTGCCCAGGTAGCCGTCGCAGGAGTGATTTGATGCCCACTTACTCTGTTGCCTGCTTGTCTTCTTGCTGTCTTGCTCGCCTGCTGTCTTGGTATTCTGCCATCATGACACACCTCGCACACAAACGCATATGCACACACAAATCCTGTGTGCGTGCGTGTATCGTCTTTCTTTCGTTCAACAATCAACAATGATACTCACTTCCGCACTCGCACACACACACACACATACGCCATGGCACAGGGAAAAGGGAGCGGTCTCACCTCCATTCTGGAGCACAGAGTCTGCAATGTGTCATCTACAGCTGACGGTGGTGCGCGCAACAACAGTGGCAACGGCGACACCAACGACAGCGCTGATGGGGATGTGCAGAATGAGGAAGAGCGCGACAAGGCAGCCACGCAGACCGACACAGCAGACAACGGCAAGGAGGGGCATCAGCGTCAGCAGCTTGCGGTCACCAAAGCAGCACGGGCGAGGTCTGCCAAAGTTGCCACGACATACGAAATGTGCGTCTACAAAGGCGATGAGGATACGGTCACGGTTGCATTGGTGAACGGCGAGGTGTTGAAGGTGTGCGGCGGCCACGAGATTGGCGCTGCCAAGGAGGCTAGCAACGAACGGAAAGGCTGGCAACACGTCTATCCAGAGGAAACGGTGAAAGTGCACGAGCGGTCACGCCCCGTGTTTGCCTGTCCCGACCTATCGAAGCATATAACGGGCGCGGGCACCGACGGCAAGAAGGCGCTTCTTGGCACGGGCATCAAGGACGAAGCGGGGCTTGCGGCCGCTGCTGAGTACCTCCTCCGCTTGTCGGAACGGGATCTATGTCACCGTGACATTCGCTCGCACAACATCCTGCGCAACGGCTGCATCGTCGACTTTGGTTTCCTCTGCAAGGCTCGCTCGCGGGATGAAGCACAGGCCCCCCCTTCGTCGCTTCCCGAATCTTACTCCACGCGGCTGCGGGAGCGCCCTCGCAAGTGGCTGCTGCATCACGACGCAGAAGCGATTCCTGCAGACGTTGTTCTGGATTGGGAATCGCTGCTGTTTGCATACGTATTCTCCTCCACTTCTCTCTCTGATGCCATGTACCGGTTGCTTGAGGGCAAGGCGTTCCTGTTGCAGTGGCTGGAGGCCAAGTTGGCCAAGTTGGACAAGGACGAGAAGCAGGCGACAGCAGCTCTGCAGGACAAGAGCGACTACGACAAGAAGAAGGAGACAGCAGCGCTGCAGGACAAGAGCGACGACGACAAGAAGAAGGAGGAGACAGCAAAGCTGCTGCGCAACATTATGCAGCACATTGCTTGCGCGTACTTCTAAATGGAGTGCGCTGCGTGTGTTTGTGTGTGTGCGTGTGGGTGGGTGGGTGTGGGTGTGGGTGTGGGTATGTGGGTGTGGGTGTTTGGCTTGGACAGAGTGGGAGAGCGCGCACGTGTGTGTATGAGTGCGAGAAGGTTCATGTGTGTGCGTTGTTTGAATGGATATGCGTGTGTGTGTGTGTGTGCGTGTGTTGTGGGGCTGGAGACGATGATGGTTGCTTCCCTCTCTTTAAAGCGACCCTCGAGCAGTGTGTTCTTCGTGTTATGTGTGTGAATTGTGCTGCATTAAATGGCCCTACGCCGTGAATCCTCCTACAATCAATCGCACACACATACACAACAACACAACAACAACAACAACGCCGCTCACCAACAGTGTTTACTCGGCCACCGTCACATCTGCTGCAAGTAGAGCAAGCACGTGTGCGAATGTATTGCCACACGTTCAAACGCGCACAACCCCCGACATTGAAGTGCGCTCGCTTGCTTTGACAACCCAGCGGGCGAGCGGGTCAAAGTGCTTGACTGCAAGGCAAGACAGTGGTGCCGCTGTCGCTGTCGCGTCGTCGGGATGTTTGTGTGTGGTGTAGTTTTCTTACTGTTCCCCTCGAATTCAACCCGCCCCCTTTGCGCAAGTGTTTGGGCGTTTGTGCTCAATATTCAGCAGCGTTGGACTGCTGTCTTGGCGACGTAGTGTACTGTACACCGTTTCTTTTGTGTGGATCTTCTCTGCCTTGCCATCAGCTTCCCAGCACGCTTGACTTGTGTTTTCAACCAACAGTGCAAACAAATCAACCACGCCAAAGACAGGCAAGGCCGTACGCAGCAAGGAACCACAACAAAATCACGTGCAATTATGTAAAATACAGACACGCACACCATCAGGCAATTCCAATGCACCCGTTTACAACGGCATTATCTGATCCGAACCTAGCTGAATGCAACAACGCACACCTCACACAAACAAATACACGCACCACAGCGCATCAAACATGCAATCGCTCATCCAACACACGCGCACGCAAGCGTGCACCAGCATCACCACCAACAAACAAGCAAACAAGCTACACACGGCAGATCAGTCGTCGAGACTGAAGGGAGGGTATTCGCCTGTGACGGTGTGTGGAGTTTCATCTTCATCGCCGCCACCAAGTGATGGGGGCAGGGGACTGCTGGGCTGGCGTGGCTGCCACGGTGACAGACCAAGATAGCTCTGTATGCCGCACACGCCGTGCACATTCACACGAGATGTGTGAGAAGACAGCGCACAAACAGCGTATCAGACACGCAGACAGGGAAACATTGCACTGGGCACGACTGCAAGGCTGCACACAAAGGTACACGCGGAAACACACACACACACACACACACACACACACACACACACACACACACACACACACACACCACACCACACCACACCACACACACGTCTGGCTTGATGACGTGCACAGCGACGCTGAGCTCACGGTTGATAACGAGCATGGCAGCATCGTTCCCGAATCTGAGAGGTAAAATACACGAAAACAAATGAACGCCCGTGAGGGGACGTGGGGTGGGTTGCACACGGGTATCAAAAGTTTCAGGCACCTGACAAAGAGCACACACACACACGCACACACACACACACACGCACACACACACACACACACACACACACACACACACACACACACACACACACACACACACACACACACACAAACAGACCTGCGCTCATGCAGCGACGGGAGTTGTCGCTTGGGCCATAGCACGTGTAGTGGTTGTCACTCCCGCGATGCCCGAAGAAGAACCGGTTGCACGATTGATCCAAGTCACCACTGACGTAATACGTGTCAAGCAGGTTAAGGCCGCCGCCGTTGTCATACCCGCGCATGTCCCCCGTGTTCCAGTTACCATCACACTCGGCAAGCGTCGGTGCAAGGCAGTGAATGTGCACTGAAGCAAAAGCGGACGACAACAATGTACCAAAAGGAAACCCACAGGGTGTGATAGTGAGATTGAGCACAAAGCAAACACAAGGTATGCCATGCGTACAAGCAGCTGCCAGCACACACACACACACACACACATATGCAACACTCACATGTACGCACACACACATACACTCTCACACACACATATTCAGGCACACTCACACACACACACGTACTCACATGTACGCACGCACACACCTACACTCACACTCTCACACACACATACTCAGACACACTCACAAGTACACAAGCACACAAGTACACCCATGCAAACCAAGCGTGGTTCGACGCACCTTCATCCAGTGCGAGACCAAGGTCTATTCGCGTGTCCACATACGAGTGGGGCGTGATGATGTACAAGTTGTTGTTTGTGCAGCCCGACTCGATCTTCCACACGCGAAAGTCAGAGGCTGACGACTTGATGCTGTTGATTTGCACGTCTGAGAGCTTGCTGAAGGATGACACGAGGTCCTTCGTGGCAATGTTGCCCACGGATCCTATTTCATGTATGACACACACGCGCGCAAACCAAGGTGAGGCGTTGCCGGGCAATGACAGCCTCTTGTCCGAGGCCTTACTTCATTGTCTCCACATCGCTTCAGAGCAGCGCATGTGTACACACAGACTTCCAAGACCATTCTCGAAACAGCATCGTTATGGCCTTGGCCTCACCACTGCAAACACATATGCACACACAAACCTGTGCTGTCATCGGTCCAGCCCACGTAGTTCTGTCCCGGATACTGAAGCACCTTCGCCCACTTGCCGCCATCGCGCTGGAAGTCACAAAACGCCTGTGCTCCCAAAAGTGGCACATGACGAAGATACTCATCGTTGTCGTGAGCGGCCACCCGATACAAAAACACAGTCACAGGATGCACACACACTCTCTCTCACACACACAAATACACACACGCGCTCATTCACTCACTCACTCACTCACTCCACTCAGTCACAAATTCAAACACACACACACACAAATACACACACGCACTCATTCACTCACTCACTCACTCACTCACTCACTCACTCACAAATACAAACACACACACACACCGTGAAAACGCCGGTGGAGGTGGAAAAGTAGTAGACGCCGTCATCTTTCGATGTCACTTCGCCGCAGGTGGATGCAGGGGAATCCGGAACAAGGCCACGGCTCGATGCCTGCAGGCAATAGCAACAGCAACACAGCACAAGAAAGAACAACGCACACGCACACACACGCACACACAAGCGCACACACGGAGGGGGAATGAGGCTAGCAAGCTCGTCTTGAAAGCATGCCTTGTCACTTAACGCAAATCTCGCCTGAGTGTTCAACCTCGCGTGTGAGAGACATTGACTGTCTACCTTTTGGAAAGCTGCAAAGTCTGCTTGCTTGGACAGGATGGTTGAGATCTGGCCTTGGACTTGCAACAGCGTGTCTGCTTGGCTGGTCTGTGTTGATTCGCTTGCAGAGAGCTTTGACGTGAGCTCGCCCACGACGCCACCCATGCCCTCGAAGAGCGTGGATACCTCCTGGCTCAGCTCGCCGGTGGGCCATGCTGGCCTCCGCGGCGGCTCGGTTCACATGCCGCTGCACATCTTTGGGATGGCTGTCTGTGAGGCTGGCGTTGACGCCATCCAAGGGACGACCACGTGGCGGCGAGAGACGCGTTGATGGCAGCAAAAGAGCGGGCAATGGCCGCCTCCATGGAGCTGAACCGCGGCACAAGCGCATCCGTCACCACCTCGCTGGTGGTGGAGATTTCGGTGCGCAGCGCGCCCTCCACGTCGCTCACGGTGTCGTTCACGCGCTGCACGTCGCCCTTCAAAGCCAGCGTTGGCAGTGTTGACAAAACGCCCTTGATGTCCGTGACGCTCACGGGATGGTCATTGTTGTTGCTGCTTGCCGTTTTGGTCTGGAACACAATGTCGTTGCCAGCCTGCAGGTACAGCGTGCCGTTTGTGGTCCACATCTGCGGCGCTCCATTTCCGTTGTCGCTGCCGGCAGTGCCGAAGCATTCCCGCAGGTCTGCAATCACCTGCGACACTGCCGGATCCGACTGGCAGTTGAGGGTGGCCGTGCAGGCGAGGTAGCTGGTGAGGCCTGCACACGTCGTCGGCACGGTGCATTGCTGTTGCAGCAGCATCGTGTCACACGTGTCTGCTCCCTGTGCATTCACAACACCAAGAACATTGCTCCAGTACACCAGCACGAGTGCCAGCAGCACCGACACGCGCGCAGTCACGCCACACATTGTGTATGTGTGTCTGTGTGTGTCTGTGTGTGTCTGTGTCTGTGTGTGTGTGTGTGTGTGTGTGTGTCTGTGTGTGTGTGTCTGTGTGAGCAGCTGGTTGCGGTGTGGAGGGGGCAACAACAAAACAACAGCTTGCTTGCTTGTTGCTTGCTTCTTGCTTGTTGTGATGTGATTATTGAAAACAAAACTGAAATCAGTTCAAATCGGGAGCTTTTGTCAGAATTGCATTTCCTGATCAGAGGCCACACAGAGCAGCAGCCAACACCAACATCATCAGCGTCGGCACAAGCGTCTGTGCAGGCTGAGGTGCTGCAATCGTTGATGGCACTCGTGCGTCGCCACCATGCACTTGCTGCAGCTGGCAGGCACAACAGGGTGGTGATGGCGGTGATGGTGAAGTGGCATCGGTGCAGAAGAAGCAGCACGTGCAGCGGCAACAGGTGGCCGCGTCGCAGGATGAGGGATTGGAGGTGGCTACACACACACACACACACACACACACACACACACACACACACACACACACACACACACACACACACACAGATGAACACACCACGTGCGGGTAGCCGAGGCGGCAAAGGAAGCGACGGTCACGGCAACATTGAGGGAGGAGATGGTGGTGAGGCCAAGCTGGATGGTGTACTCGACCTGGCACCAGGGGCCGTGCAGCAATGGAGGGATGGTGTTGGCAGCAAGGCGCAACGAGGGAAGGCGCACACACAGAGGGGAAGGACGGAAACAAAGGGCGGAGAGAGAGACACGCGCATGCACACACAGCACATACACACACAGAGGCACAGCACACAGACACGCAGCACACAGCACAGAGACATACACGACACCTTTTGCACAGCGTTGATGCAGTGTTGGGTGGATGCGTTGTAACGGATGGTGCAATCACCATCTCAACCACCTGTAAAGGCAAAGCAAGGGTGGGAAAATGCCATGCGAGGTCATGTGAGGTCATGTGAAGTCACAGACAATGAGACACACACACACACCAAACACTCCTCACACACAACACCCACACCTCCCCACACACACACACACACAGACACAGACACAGACACAGACACAGACCCCCCCCCCACACACACACACAAACACTTCCATAAACACTTCCACACACTACACACACACAACACACAACACCACATCAGTTCCCACTTCCTCCCTCCTCCTTCCCAAGGTCTCGACTGACTGTAAGAGATTTGGATGTTGGTTGTGATGCCTGTGTATGTTGCAAGGACCGCGGCGTCTGCTGGGACCGGCACATCAAGGTCGCCGCCAGGGCTGCACATTGCCCGAACACGCTCGGCATCGTCTGCCGCTGGGATGATGCGGGTGCACGTGCCTGGCGCAGACGCAAAGAGGCGCGTTGGATTGCGTGGTGCGCACACCCCCTGCAGCGTGTCGGCGGGAAAAGGCAGCGGTGTGAGCGTCGTGCTGTCCTGCGTGATGTACACGATCGCGCCATACGTGACGTAAAAGGGGAAAGGGTCTTGGCGTGGGATGGTGTTGCGTGGCGGAATGAAGATGGCCTCCTCCGGCGTGTACTGCAGCGTCTCGAGGCTGAAGGATATGGGGTGGGGGCGTGCAGCGTCTGCGAATGCCTGGAACGCGGCGTCATTGAGCGGCGTGCGCGGCTCCCTGAAAGAGATGCGGTCATTTGTGTTGTCGACCAGCACGCACGCGATGCTGCTGCCCTCTGCTGCTTGGATGGCCTGGTTCCTGCCCTCGTTGGTGACGAAGAAGTCGTCGTACACGCACCTGCGCAAGGGCTTGATGTCTGGCGTGTTGCAGTAGGCAAAGCGCACTTTCACCAGCGTCGTGCATGACGGATCACAGCAGCAGCTTGCGTCACACTCCGCCGTTATACTCAGCAAACGAGGCTGCGCATGGATGTCGGCTCCGCACCTGCGCAAACGCGGGTGTTCTTGTTGTTGTTCAAGTTGCTGACAGTGCACTTGTTAAGTTGCTGGTCGTCGTCGGAAGAGTGATGGTGGTGGTGGTGTTCTGGGCAGTTGCGGGTTTAGCCATGAGCACAACAACAGCAGCAGCAGCAACAGCGACAAGAACAGCCACCACAGCACCTCTGCGGCACATCGATGCACGTCGAACCATGACGCTATGACGAGCCCATACGGAGACAAGACAGAGACAGAGACAGACAGACCGCCAACGACAGTTACGCCCACAGCAAAGCAGACAACTGCTGTTGCCGAGGAATCATGTATATCATCATCATTTTTTCGCCTGTGGTTTGCCATTTTTCCTCGCTCGATTTTTCAAAAACGAAACACCACCAGCCAGCAGCCAGCATCAACATCAACCACCGCCCGCGACAAGACAATCGCAGACACTCAAGATGACAGCCGGGCAGGCTTCGACACCGGTGAGGCCATCTGACAAAGTGTGGTGGGCGATTGAGGGCTGAGCAAGCGATGTGGGGGGGGGGGGGAAGGGAGACACCCAACGTGCCTTGCAGCGCACGCAGCGTGTGCAACGGTGACGGCCCAGCATCACTTGTTGTCGAAGCACTTGCCTGCTAGCACAAATGCGCGCGCTTTTTGTTTCTCACACGTGTACGCACACACACATGATGCACGATGCAAGGGAGAGGATTCAAACAACAGTACCGCAATGTCCACCGCTCAAAAGAGGAAAACCAAAGAGTCTGAGCTCATGACAAGCCTGTCGACAAACGACGTGAGTTATTGTTTGGGTTGTGTGCAAACGTGTGGCGATAGCTCGAGAGGGCGCGTGTATGAGTGTATGGTTATGTGGTGCATGTACATGTGCGCACCTGTGTATGTGTGAGTGTGCACCTGTGTGTATGTTTACGTTTGTGTATATGTATGTGTGTGTGCATATGTGTGTGCATGTGTGTGCGTTTGAGTGTGCATATGTGTGTGTGCGTGTGTGCACTCGGAAACCATCATCAACACCCTCTTGGCGCCAAAATTGTCTACGTGCACACCAGCCATAATCTCACTTTGTGGGCACCTGCTGTACCTTGTTCAATCGACTCGCCCTCTTTCCTTTCAGGCTGGCGTTCTTGCGCGCGCATATTTGCAAGCAGCAATGAAAGAGTACGAGAGCCTTTTGGGGGGCACTCTGCAAGACTGCAAGCGATCATACCGCGCCTTCGCCGAGCAGATCAGCACAATTGCAGGCCGGCATGGGATCGAAATCGGTTCAACCGGCCCTCTCGACAACGCACCCAAGGCAAAGAATTATGTCGACAGCATGCTGAAGCAGCCCTACACGGAAAACATCAAGAACCTGCTCCAGCAAGTCCGCAGTGTGCTGGATGAGAAAAAGACGCCGACGCCACAGGTGCCCTTGAAGGTTGCGGAAGGGTTCCTTCTGGAGCTTGACAATGTGACACGCAAAGGGCTGTCCGAAGAGCAACGGCAGTTTCGACAAGGTGCGCCTGTCTCACTCAGCCTTTCATGTGCGGCTGCGTGACCAAATGGGCTGATGCTTGTGTGTGTGTGTGTGTGTGTGTGTGTGTGTGTGTGTGTGTGTGTGTGTGTGTGTGTGTGTGTGTGTGCATCGGTGTTGTTAGATTACTGCGAGCAGCCCTGTGCATGAGCACCCTGGTTGACTGACACGTTGCTTGCGGGTTGTTTTGAACTCATACTTGCTGTTTGGTGTGGTTCGTGGCAGATTTGGAGTCAAGCGTAACCCCCAGCAGCGCTGCCAAGGAGAAGGAGAAGGACAAGGATTCGGCCCACAGAACAGTCTATGCGCAGCCGTTCTCTGCCGAGCTCTTCTGCCCCGACTGGCACCTGCACTACGAGGGGTTTCAATTGGCAGTCGACGAGGGGTTTCAATTGGCAGTCGACGAGGGCACAAACACGGGTAAGGTCATTGTCGAGCATGTGTTTGCTTGCTGTGTACACGTGTACATGTGAGCGTCCTTTCCACGAGAGAACGTGACATGTGTGCGTGTGTGTGTTTGTGTGTCGGTGCTGATGCATGGTGGTTGAGTCTTTGGCGCTCGTGCGCGGGTGTGCTGGCACTGGAAGGGAATACCTCTCTGTCGCTCACACCGACGCTGCACCATGCACGCCCACCGCACTGCAGACTTTGACTTTCACGTTCCGAAGCGAGAGACGCGGTTCAATGACAGGATGAACGTGCCCCTGATCAAGGCGTGTGCTGGCGCAGCAGTGTACGTCAAGAGCCACGCGTCCTTTGAGGCCGACACCGCTGTTGTCGCCGACTATGTTGTGCAAATGGCCTCAAATCTTGACTTCTATCCGCTGTTGCTTGAGCTCAAGATCGATGACAGCAAGCAGACGCAGGATGCTGCCAAGGCGCAGGTGCTGGAGTACGCATCACGGGCCATCAAGTCTGCGGGACCGAAGTGGCGTAAGTTGAAGGGGTATTTGTTTCCCTTTGCCATCACCGTCTGCGGGCAGAAGGTGTCCGTGTACGCGTGCACGCTGGGCGATGAGGTGCACGGCGACGAGGCCTTTCCCAGTATCCTCCACACAAAACTTGGCGACACCGACGTGAGTTGCCACCACATGTGCGAACAGTGAAGGAGGGTGTTTGCATTGTGTGTGTGTGTGTGTGTGTGTGTGTGTGTGTGTGTGTGTGTGTGTGTGGCACACATGATCCTGCACGTGCACCCGTGCAGTTGCTGTCGACTGGCTGCTGCCTTGTACACTGCTAGTTGTCGTTGGACGCTGCGCTCACATTGGGTTCCTCTGCTGTGAAATCCAGTTGAACCGGCTCGGGCATGTCATTAAGTGGCTGCTTGACGAAGAGCACATGGCGCATTACGAGAATATTGCCGCCATTGCCCAGGTAGCCGTTGCAGGAGTGATTTGATGCCCACTTACTCTGTTGTCTGCTTGTCTTCTTGCTGTCTTGCTCGCCTGCTGTCTTGGTATTCTGCCATCATGACACACCTCGCACACACACACACATACACGCACACATGTTGTGTACGTGTGTGTGTGTGTGTGCGGCGCCCTCGTGTACCGTCTTTCTTTCGTTCAACAATCAACAATGATACTCACCTCCACAATCGCACGTTATCATACACAATCACACAATCACACAATCACACAATCACACAATCACACAGGGCCGTCTCACCGTCATTGATGAGAACCCCGCCGGTCCCACACCACCAGCAGCAGCAGACAACGGCAAGGAGGAGCAGCGTCAGCGTGCAGACGCCGAAGCAGCACGGGCGAAGTCTGCCAAAGTTGCCACGAGATACGAGATGTGCGTCTACAAAGGCGGCAAGGAGACTGTGTCGGTTGCATTGGTGAACAACGAGGTGTTGAAAGTGTGCGGCGGCCACCGCATTGGCGCTCCTGAAGATGAGAAGGCTGCCAGCGATGAGGAGACTGCCAGGGATGAGGAGGCTACCAGCGATGAGGAGGCTGCCAGCGATGAGGAGGCTGCCAGCGATGAGGAGGCTGCCAGCGATGCGGAGGCTGCCAGCGATGCGGAGGCTGCCAGCGATGCGGAGGCTGCCAGCGATGAGGAGGCTGCCAGCGATGAGGAGGCTGCCTGGGAAGAGGAGGCTGCCAGGGAAGTGAAGGGCTGGCAACTGCTCTATCCACACAAGAAGGTGAAAGTGTACGAACGGTCACGCCCCGTCTTTGCCTGTCCCAATTTGTCACAGAAAAGGAGCAAGCGCAAGAGCAATTGCAAGAACAAGCGCAAGGGCACCAAGAGCAAGCGCATCAAGAGCAAGCGCACGGACATCAAGGGCACAGGCATCAAGGGCACGGGCATCAAGGGCACGGGCATCGACGACGGGCAGGCGCTTGAGGCTGCGGCTGAGCACCTCCTCCGCTTGTCGAAAAGGGATCTATGCCACTGCGACATCCGATCTCACAACATCCTGCGCAACGGCTGCATCGTCGACTTTGGTTTCCTCAGTGGCCCTGTCAGTGACCCTGAAAAGAAGAAGAAGAAGAAGAAGAAGAAGCTTCCTCCTTCCTATTACACAGCGCTGCGGGAGCGCCCTCGCAAGTGGCTGCTTGGAAAGGCAACGGACTATTATCCAGAAGTTGTTCTGGATTGGGAATCGCTGCTGTTTTCGTACGTGTTCTGGTATGATTCTGTTGCCAACGCCATGTTCCGGCTGTTTCAGGGCAAGGTGATCCTGCTGGAGTGGCTTGACGCCAAGCTGGACAAGCTGGACAAGGACGACAAGAAGAAGGAGACAGCAGCGCTGCAGGACAAGAGCGACGACGACAAGAAGAAGGAGACAGCAGCGCTGCAGGACAAGAGCGACGACGACAAGAAGAAGGAGACAGCAGCGCTGCAGGACAAGAGCGACGACGACAAGAAGAAGGAGACAGCAGCACTGCTGCGCAACATTATGCAGCACATTGCTTGCGCGTACTTCTAAATGGAGTGCGCTGCGTGTGGTTGTGTGTGTGTGTGTGCTGTGTGTGTGGGTGTGTGTGGGTGTGTGGGTGTGTGGGTGTGTGTGGGTGTGGGTGGGTGTGTGTGTGCTGTGTGT